CCCGGGCGTCCTGATCCAGCTGCTGCTGGTCAGTTTCAGCAGCGGCTGACGGGGACGCCTGGGGCAGAGCTGCTGGGGTGCTGCTGGGTTGCTCCAGTAGCGCCGAGGAGCCACGCTACTGGAGCAACCCAGCAGCACCCCAGCTGCTCTGCCCCAGGCGTCCCCAAGTCAGCCCCAGAGTTGCTCTGCCCCAGGCTTCCTGGAATCAGCCGCAGATCAGTTTCAGCAGCAGCTGACTTGGGGATGCCTGGGTTTCTTAAGTTTAATCTGTATGTAAGTCAGAACTGGCATCCAGATTCAGCCGCGGTTGAAACTGATCAGTTTCAGCAGCAGCTGACGCCAGTTCCGACTTACATACAGATTCAACTTAAGAACAAACCTACAGTCCCTATCTTGTACGTAATCCGGGGACTGCCTGTACTTCGAAATAGCGCTATTTTGAAATAACAGATGCTGTTAAGACACAGTTATTTCGAGAGAGCCCTGAGACTCCTGAAAAGACTGATAAGAGGCCCAAATCAGCTCTGGGACTTTTGGATTTCGGTGAGCCTTCTGTTTCCAAATTATCAGCCTTGGTACTGAGCTCCAAATCCAAAAAGATGAAGCAATTGGGTAGCAAAATAAAGCAAGATTATCCCAACCTTTTTTCCACCTTCAGGCTCAAGTTTTAATCTTTCCTTTTTAAAAAATCAATTCTTTCCCTTTTCCTTACAACCTAAACCATTTTGTATTCTAAGTACTGAGCAGATTCTTGTAGCAATATGCTGACACTTCAACCTTTTTCAAAAGGTCAGACTAGTTGCATTGAGAAGTCTCAGCCCCAGTCCTTGAGACATGCTCTATCTGGACATTCTCCAGGATTCCCTCTACCCACTTACAGAATTGTCAGTGCATCATTTTCTCCATCACAGCCTACCAGATCTTTCAGAGCAAGGGGTCCCCATTTCACTGAGGCACTTCCATGCTTCACAGTACAGCTACGCAGGACAGCTCAGCCAAAAGAAAGAAAACATCACTCAACAGTACAAAGGACTGTGGTGGTTAGAATACATGCAAAGAAAATGGTTCTTTGTTCACTTTCTGTCAATGGAGGATTAAAATACAAAAGCAGAAAGTCAAGCACAGGTTTTTAGGGCTGTATAAAAAGCCCATTCATCAGGTTATAAAAAAAGTCAAATGTGTTTGATTGTATCGGTTCAACAAAGCCACAGCAAGAGGCATTTCTTTAGGAGCTATCTCTGCCAGAAGTACAGCAGGGAAACAAAGACAATCCAGATTATACAGAAAACTAAAAAAGAAAGGGGGGGGGGAGACTCAAAAGCCAGGCGATCTAGGAAGGAAGCACCTGCTAAAGAATGCTTTTTCTAAACTAGAAAGGGAGAAAGTAAGTTGCAAAGAAGGAAGAAAAGGAGAAGGCTTGTAGAAAAGCCTTGATTTGCTCAGTGCCCACTCTCTCTCTCTCTCTCTCTCTCTCTCTCTCTCTCTCCAACTGAACTATCATTTTCACTGTCATTAACTGGCCACAAGATTTAGGTATCAGGTCACTACTCTACATACACAACAAGAAAACATACAAAATATGGAGAGTGCAACTGCATATTCCCACAATGCAACTGAAGACTACATGGGATTGAGTGAGATGGACATTCTCTGAAAAGGGAAGTATATCACGGAGTGCACATGTGTTCTGAACTGCTGTAATTAATGAAAAAGCAGTGTGATAGAGTGAGGACTAACTGAAGCTTCAGGTATAAAAAGTCAAATAAGGTTATAATAGTACTTAGCATGATTATCAATTCTTGTATTTACAGTAAAACTTTTGCTATCTGGCACTTAACTAGCCGGAAAACCTTAGATACCGCCAAATTTCCAAGCCGGGAACGGGGGAGGGAACTGGCGCTTTAAGCCGGGCGTGTGTGCAGCATGTACTTGGGGGAGGGGCAAATGGCCACCTGATGCCAGGCTGCATCCAGGCCCCGCCCCCCGCAGCTCTGCCCTCCAGGGCTCATGGCCACTG